ACCACTGTCCCTCCTCTGGACATGTTCAAACCACTGTCCCTCCTCTGTCTGGACATGTTCAAACCACTGTCCCTCCTCTGGACATGTTCAAACCATCTCAGTCTGGTCCCTCTAACTTTATCTCCCAGTTGTTCAAACTGTGCTGTACCTCTGATGATCCCATTCCTAATCTTATCCATCCTTGTCACTCCTAAGGAGAATCTCAACATCTTCATTTCTGCCACTTCCAATTCGGTTTCCTTTTTTTTTTGTGTCAGTGTCACTGTCTCCAAACCATACAACATAGCTCTGTCTTCTAATGTTTCACTTTGACCTTTGACACCAACCTTTTGTTGAGCGTCACTTATGAAACTTTTCTCCATCCACTCCATCCTGCCTAGACTTTCTTTTTCACCTCTTTACCACACTCCCCATTTTCCTGGACCGTTTACCCAAATTATTTGAAGTCCTGCACCTTTGTGACCTCTGCTCCTTGTAGCCTCACTGTTCCACTGGCCTCCCTTTCAAACACACACATGCACTCTGTCTTACTACGACTGTCTTTCATTCCTCTTCTTTCAAGTGCATACCTCCACCTCTCTAAGTTCTCTTCCGCCTGTTTCCTGTTCTCACCACAGATCACAATGTCATCTGCAAACATCATAGTCCAACAATTTCATCTGCAAACATATTCCAGCAAGTATCAAAGTCCAACAAACATAATTTGACTAAATCACAGATTAATGAAAATTGACTTTAAATATGAAAAAATATTGAGTTTAAATATCTGGACCTGGCCACAACGTTGACTACATGGGACACTAGATATGTTTTTCAAATGGCAATAAAGACAGTCTTCACAAGAGCTTCAAACAATTTTCTGCTAAAAAAAAAAATTGTACTTACAGCTTTTCATCAACAGGCATAATAAATAAAAAATCAACAGGGTATTTCTAGGCTCAAATGCCCAATGATACTTTAAATGTTCAAACTGATGGCAATGATTAAAAAATATTAGAAAATTACTTTATGGTACATTTGCTTAATCTCTGGGATGAATAGTGCAGCTACAAAGCCTGTTATCACGGCAGCGTAACTGAAATTGTTTTGATAAAGACCCACCTTTTATCAAAAAAGGGTCATGATCAAAACATGTGCCTTTGAGTCTTAAAAAAGCCTAATGTGTGCTAATGATATAAATCACAATTAGGACACTTTTAAGTCTGTCTCAAAAGCTCAAAAAGCCTCAGTTACTGCCATGGCAACTCACATCTAATTTACTTTTTAAATGCTTTGAGGTATTTCTATTCTATTAACAATCATAAGATATTCTCAGACAAGGACATTTCTACTGTTTCAACTCTCATATTATCAGGATTGGGGACAAAATATTCACACAGGCAATATTTTTAAGTCAAGCATTTGGATACAATCCTCAGTTGAGAAGAAAACCAAAACTTAAGCTGACTCCAAAATTCAAAAGCATTTTTATCTCGTTTGTCACTTGAACACTGAAAACAGCTGCTCATCAATCGTCAAGCTTAAACCAAACAATGTGACTTACAGGTACATTAATAAGTTATTAATACATTTCCATAAAGAGGCTGATACATTTGTAATTCCTTGCACATTATCAGAAAGGTTATTATTGCCAAATGCCTGTGTATGTAGGCCTGTCGCTATAAATCAATTAATCGCATGATAAATGAAAATTGTTGACCTCATTTTCATTTATCGGCTTTATCGTTTCTTCGTGACTCTCTCTTTCTACTGAAGACACTGGATGACAAAAAGGCTCAACTCCGGTGCTCTTCACTGACCCCTCCCTTTCTTTTTTCCCCTTTTCTTTAAAATCTGTTATAACCGTCCAAAATCGTGTTTTTGGATCATTACAAGCAGCAAAGCTGAGAAGCTAAGCTAACAGGCTGACCTCGGGAAAAAACCTCTGTCTTGTCGAAGCTCCAAAGTTCACAGTTGAAACTCGTGCCTTAAAAAAGTTGTTTTTCTCTGCAAAAAGAAGCTGAGAACTTGTTTACTGATTTTTTTTATTAAAAGCTTTGTGTGAAAAATGCTATGATAAAGAGCTTAAACCACACAGAACATCTGCCATTTTGAGAACCAAAAAACAGGAAGGAGAGACAGCCCATGTCACGTCCAGGGGCCTCCCTCCAATTTTCTTAAAGTGACAAGCAGCTTGCTCCCTCACTATCCATCCTTTGGTTCAAACAGTCTTATACTGCAATCCACTGGTCAAAAAAAGTACTACACACAAAACAAATTACCAACATATCTTAAATTTGACAATAATTACCAATTATTGTCAAATTTCAAACAATATTATCGTTTATCGCAATCATTTCTGAGACAATTAATTGCCCAGCAAAATTTGTTATCGTGACAGGCCTTTGTGTATGTGTTTGTTTGTAGCATTAGCAAAATATCTCATGAACCGTTGAGCGTATGAAAAACTTTTAGAATTCTAAATCAGTCATTGTTACAGATATTTAGCAAAGATTTCCTATGCTAGCAGTCTTCCCCAACACATAATTCATGTACTAACACATTTCACAAGACTTTACAATGTTGTATGGAATTGTGCAATGTCACTAAAAAAGCTACAAGTGCAATTTGTTTTAATCATAAGACTATCTGGGTTTAAAACCCTGGCATAAAGTGGCAGGGAATATGGATTATTTTAAGAAAAACATGGTCTTATATTTAGTTTTAGAGGCAACTGTATTTTGGAAGCAAATAACTATTAAAGCTACTTTAATCCATGATACCTCATACAAAACATTAACATATATATATATATATATATATATATATATATATATAT